CCAGAAAACACACACACAAACAAACTAAGGAATAAAGACCTTTATTTGGGGTTTATTAATATAAGATAAGCGCACATTTGTGTTAACACAACAAACTACATAATTAATATAAATATTAACACTAATAAAATAAACAACCAACAATATCACACAACTAACAACATTAATATATATATGTATGTTAGTATATATAGGTAGCCTACATACACACTCAAATTTAACAACCATCATAACAGTAATCACACAAAACCAAACTAAATCAACATGTAATCAATATTAAATCACTACAAAAAAATAAGAAGGATATATAGAAAAAAGGCCCGATACTGTGAACCATATAAAGGCCCACATATGGTTATTTAATTTATGGGGTATAAATGCAATTATCATAACAAAATATATATGTTAGGTATTGGTATTTATTGGGTTCAATGAAGTGTGGTGTGTATTACATAAAAGATTGAGTCAATATAGATACACCCGACCGAGAGCGTAGATAGACTCAATACGCACATATACTAAGTGTCAAGAAAACTAATAGATAACTGCATAATAATGCAACGACTACATATAATCATTAGAAAATAAAATGTGAAATAAGATGCATACATCAACATCTAACGAAGTGAAAAATAAACTTTGTGGTTGTTTTTGTTTTTGTTGTATCAGAGTGAGGTCGCCTCGTTCACACGTGATGGTTGTTGTGTTAGGTTAGATGTGTATAATATAGTGTTGATTGTAGTGTGTGTGTGTGTGTAGGTGATGTGTTAGTGTGTTGATGCTAGATATGTCGTAAGAGTGTGTGTGTTAGTTGTGATGTGTTGTTAGTTAGGTGTGTTTTGTTGATTATGTAGTATTGTGTGTGTATACAAACATAATTAAACTAACACAACTAGTCAATAGACTACTACAGTACACAACAATAATATACTGTTAATCATATATATGTAATATGTATATCACTATATATTAGTATGTAGTGTATGTATGGCCAGATCGTGATGTGATATAGTACATGATACTGAATGAGTCGATACGTCGAAGCTTCAAGTGTGTGTTGTGTGTGTGTGTGTGTGTGTGTTAGTCAGTCGCTATGTCGTAGCGTATAGATGAAATGATGTCATGAGAGCGATATGATAGTAATGAAGTAATCGCATAGTGATGTGTGTGTGTGTGGGTGTGGTGTGTGTGTGTTGTCATGGTATCAAGGGGCTCGCTGTGTAGATAGGTTTAAGTGATGTATGTACGATAAATGTGCTGTGATGCTGTCACTTCGTTTTGATTTACGATTATAGACCAAAATAAGGAGCTCCCCCGCTAGTATAGCATGAGTGTAGGTGCGTGTGACTGTAGGGTGTTGTGGTGTGGGTTAGTTAGTGTCGTAGATAATGTGTGTGTGATGTATGCGTAGCTAAGTATCTAGGACAATAAGCTAGTAGAGAACAAAATGACAGTATTATGTTAGGTTATGATGTGTACTAAGCAATAAGTGTGTGTTGGATGATAAAAGGGTTAATAGAGAACGTATAATGGTTATGTTTGATGACTTAAACATAAGTTGGGCGAGGTATTTATCAGCTCACAACATCAACACAAAGGAGATCTTCCACGAGATAAGCATAACAATAATAAAAAGCCCCCAACCAAAAATGGGGTCATTACTGATGTCGCTAAAACACCTAACTTTATACTTACATATAAATTCGATATATACCGAAATAATAACAAATCAAGATACATAATAGACCTAAAAAAAATACAAACTATATCACTCCATAGCGGCGTCAGACTAATTCAACAATGAGGCAATAATTAAACTGAAAACAATTACATGTTTAATACCAAAAACCTTATATAACATGTATGGTAGATTTAATTATATACATACTAATAAATCACACAACAAATTTAACTATATAGGTCAGAACAATATAAAAAAATATAAAACACAACCCGCTAACATAATTAAAAATCTAACAAGTTTATAATAATATAATAATAATATCAACACAAAAATTGGTAGTACTATAAATAAAAAAGAAGTTTTCTCGAGTTTTTTTAATAAAGCTCACTCTATACCCCTACACAAATGTTATGTGTTTTTTTATGAAATAAATACTAACAATTAACTACATACGAATATCAAAAACTAACTAAAAAATACATATATGTGTGTGTGTGTAGTGGTGTTGATTGTTGTTATGTATATAATATAATAATATTAATTTGATATGTTGTGTGTAATGGTGTGGTTGTATGTTGTGTGTGTATGTGTGTTATGAGTGTGTGTGTGTGTGTTTGTTGTGATGTGTGTATGTTGATATTATGTAGTATGTGTTGAGTGTGATGGTGTGATGTGTGTGGTGTGTGTTTGTATGGATATTGTGTATATATTAGTATATTATATGTGTGTGTGTGTGTGTGTGTGCTGTGTGGTGTGTGTGGTGTGTGTGGTGTGTGTTGTGTGTGTGTGTGGTGTGTGTGTATGTGCGTGTGCGTGTGTGTTGTTGTGTGGTGTGTTGTGTGTGTGCTGTTGTGTGTGTCGATGTGTAGTGTGTGACTAGTGATTGTGATGATGGTGTAATGCCATGCTGTCGTGGGATCATAGTGTGTGTATGTGTGTGTGTGTGTGTGTGCGTGTGTGTGGTGTGTGTGCTGTGTGGTGTGGCATGTGTGTGTGTGTGTGTGTGTGTGTGTGTGTGGTGTGGCTGTGTGGTGTGTGTTGTATGTGTATGTGTATGTGTATGATGTGTGTGTGTGTTGTGTGTGTATGTGTGTGTGTGTGTATGTGTGTGTGTGTGTGTGTGTGTGTGTGTGTTCGTGTGTGTGTGGTGTGTGTGTGTGTGTGTGTGGTGTGTGTGTGTGTGTGTGTAGGTTTTTGTGTGTATTGTGTGTGTATGCAATGCACACAAAACACACACGAAAACACACACCACACACGCTCTATTTATCTATATACGTAATGTATATGCGTATATATGAAATGTTATGATAATGAAGATAAACCAACTATCAAGTATATATTAAAAATATATATATATAAACACAATATTATATATATATCAATATATTGTGTATATGTGTGTGTATGTATATTTATAACTGCATGTATATTTATACACACACCCACACACACACACACACACACACAACACCAACAGCCACACAACACACACAGCACATGTACATCACACAACACACACACACAACACACACACACACAACACACACACGCACAAAACGAAAAAAAAATCACCTCACACACAACACCACACTAACACACACACACACACACACACCCACAAACACACACACACAACAGCCCACACACACACACAAAACACACACACACACAAACACCACAAACACACACAAACACACACAATCACACACACACACACACACACACATATCCAAAATAAATACACACACATATTTATATCACATAATAAATAATATATAAGTAATATTATATTCACACAAAAACAACACTATACATCACATATACAACCTACCAAATACAAATATATATATATATATATATATATATTTATATATATAACCGTCATATATATATATGGTAATATAGTATATATTATATATATATAATATATATATTAAGAGTACTTATATGTAGTATATAATATATATATCTCCATTATTCCACAACACACTAACAATAAGGAAGGGTATTTCCCGGGTATAAAGGCCCCAAACATGGTGGGGGTCTTTTTAAAATATAACTATAATATACTACATAATATATATATATCGTGGTGTTTGTGTGTGTGTGTAGTTGCTGTGGTAGAAATGTGTGTGATGGTATTCGTTGTTTGTTTGTGTGGTGTGTGTTAGATAGATAGATAAATTAGACCTAGTTGATAGATAGATAGAATAGAATAGATACACAGCTATAGATTGTAATAGATTGATATATTTAAGAATAGTAGACGAGATAGATATGAACACAACACACACACACACACACACACACACACACACACAACATACACACACAACACACACATCACACCACACACAACACATATAGATATATATAACTACATATAAACATAGAATCCACAATAATAACCAATATATATATACTGGGATTATATATACTATATATGTATATATAATATAGAGAGATAGACAAATTATGAAAGAGAGGTAGATAGATGAATAGTAGATAACTAAGATACGGTTTGATGAAGATGAATACGGTAATATGATAAGATAGATAGAGATGAAATTAGGTAGATAGATACCCTGAGTATAGATAGCCCGAAAAAGAAGAGAAATAGAACAGCAAAAATAGACTGACGATCCAGAATGTAGATAAGTAAGATAGACATAAGAATAAGATAACAATAAGAATACATTCGATAAAAAGATAGAGATAGGACAGTGAAGATGAGTGAGAGTGACGACGAGATAATGGTAGAGAGATAAATGGTGTGTATGAGAAGAAGAGAGAGACGAAGAGAGACACGAGAGAGAGACGAGAAAGCAGTAAGAAGAGAGCAAGCAGAGAGAGAGAGAACATAGAAGACAGCAGGAAGAGCCAGAGAGAGAGAAAGAAGGAGATGAAAGAAATGTCATGTGTAAACTCAATGATAAACGTTAGGAACTAAAACAACAAAATGTATTCTACTTAGTTATATACTATAAACAATATTGAGAGTAATATTAAAGATAAAATGAAGGAATAAACCGACAGAACCCGGGTGATAATTAAAATAGGCGAATTCACAGTCACCCCGCCCCAGCGAAAATGGGGTTTAAGTGCATTATTTTAGAAGAATACAAATTGACGATGAAAGAATGAAATTAAAATAAACCACTTTTATATGAATCAAATGCAAAAACTGTGCACATATGGTGAATAATTATTCATTGAGAAAAAACAAGCCATTGTATTTCATTAAAATTATGTGGATAATTCTATTTTCGATTTGCTTTGAACCGCTGAAACATCGTCTGCATCAATTAGCAGACGACGTCAAGATGGCGGGAAGGTGGGACGCGTTTCAGGGTCTTCCTCACGGATGGGAAGTTCGTTTTGACGGCAGAACGGGAAGATAGTGAGTATTTTATAGGGTTTTTGATTTTCACCGAAGTGGTGTGGGGTCAATGGAGTACATTTTAAGTCTGTTTAGTTAGTTCATATTTATGTAATTTTTCGGTGAGAAAGAGCGTTGACGTTGCGTCAGTTTTTTTTATTTGTTTGTTTATATAATGATTTTCTTATTCGGGGATTTTCATTGCTGACAAGCTTGACGAACTTGTTTGTATTAAATACGTTTGTTGTATATGTTATCGTTTTATTTTTTTGCGAACTATCATAATGTTATATTCTAATCAAATGTGTGACATTTTAAATGGTTGTTTTATGTGTCATTCACAGACATCTAAGTGGTGTCATTTTTTGTCATTACTCCCTTAGTTTTTATTCATTCTGTTTGTTTAACTTCATCTTTATAGCGAATTCCATATCACTAGATAATGAGATAGATTACAGTGTATTGTTTTCCTGTTTTCACAATATTTCTTCTGCTTGTCTTGTTAACTGTTTATGCTTTTAGTGATTTTGTTATTTTTAAGTTTTTTTCGGGGTGTTTTATTTGTTTATCTTCAACAATTACCGTTATTCTTATCATCATGATTATTTTCATGTATTATTATGAAAATATTATTTTTTTGTCATCATGGGGATGTGTTTATTGTTATTTATTATGGTGATAATGCTTAATGAAAGAAAGAAGAGGGGAAAGAGAGAGAGAGAAGAGGGGAAGAGAGAGAGAGAGAGAGAGAGAGAGAGAGAGAGAGAGAAGAGAGAATAAGAAAGAGAGAAGAAGAGGGGGAGAGAGATAGAAGATAGAAAGAGAGAGAGAGAGAAGAGGGGTAAGAGAGAGAGAGAGAAGAGGGGTAAGAGAGAGAGAGAGAGAAGAAAGAGAAGAGAGAAGAGGGCTAGAGAGAGAGAGAGAGAGAGAAGAAGAGGAAACAGAGAGAGAGAGAAGAGGAAAGATAAGAGAGAGAGAGAAGAAGGGAAGGAGAGAGAAGAGGGGAAGAGAGAGAAGAGGGGAAGAGAGAGAAAGAGGGAAGGAGAGAGAGGGGAAGGAGGAGAAGAGGGAAGGAGAGAGAAGAGGGGAAGGAGAGAGAGAAGAGAGAGAGAAGAGGGGAAAGGAGAGAGAGAAGAGGGGAAGGAGAGAGAGAAGGGGAAGGAGGAGAGAAGAGGGGAGAGGAGAGAGAGAGAGAGAAGGAGAGAGAAGAGGGAAGGAGAGAAGAGAAGAGGGGAAGGAGAGAGAGAAGAGGGAAGGAGAGAGAGAGAGAGAGAGAGAGAGAGAAGGAGAGAGAGAGAGAGAGAGAGAGAGAGAGAGAGAGAGAGAGAGAGAGAGAGAGAGAGAGAGAGAGAGAGAGAGAGAGAGCCTTTTAAGTGAGTGTAGGACTTGTTGCAGGCTAATATACCTGACACTGAAATGAGGGTGTGTACAGTATGTCTGTGAATCTATAATTAAAAATGATTTTATACTGTTGCTTCTTGATCTAATAAACATTTTTTTTTTTATTGATATTTGATATTTATTTGTATTAATGTTATTATTGTTATTATCATTATTAGGTGTTATTACTATTATTATTGTTATTAGTTTTTATTCTTCTTATTATTATTATAGGTACTATTATTATTATATCTGAACAGAATATTATTATTTTGTTTTTTTTGTTTTTTTTTGTTTTTGTATCTTTAGTTGAAGTAATAGAATTTCTGTAAAATTTCTATTTGATATTTTTACTATCATCATCATCATTATAATTGTTATTGCTTTTATTATCCTTATTATTATTATTATTATTATATATTATTATTATATTATTATTATTATTATTATTATTATTATTATTATTAGTAGTAGTAGTAGTAGTAGTAGTAGTAGTAGTAGTAATAGTTCTAATAGTAGTAGTAGTACCAGTGTTGTTCTTATTGTTGTTGCTATTTCTGATGTTATTATTTTTATTATGAATATTATTGTTATTTTAATCATTATTGTTATCAACAGTTACTTCATTGACCATATCAACAAACAAACATCATGGGAGGATCCTCGGTTGAAGTCCTGCCCCCCTCCTCCCCCCCACCCCGAGACACTGCCTGCCGAGCTGAGGACCCAGCAGGAGAACCAGAGCCATCCTTTGCACCAGGTTTGTTTTTGTTTGGTCGTTCTTCTCTGTTTTGTGGAATAGGTGGATCTCCTTTGGAAGAACAAGTGCACAATATCACACATATGCATATCCACATAAATGCATATATGCACATGTTCATGCACATGCTCATGATCATGCACTTGCACATGCTCATGTACATGTTCATGCAGAGGCTCATGCAGAGGCTCATGCACAGGCTCATGCACAGCTCATGCACAGGCTCATGCACAGGCTCACACATGCACACACACACACACACACACACACACACACACACACACACCACACCACACA